CATTTACAGTTTCCGGAACACGGAAGCTAAACTTTCGCTCATCTCTAGTTTCCAGAGCAACAACTACATCATGTGCGCTGGAAACGGTCACTTGGCGAAGTGATGATGAATCTGCAGGGTTATTTTTCTTCTTGGCTGATGATGTTGATGCCATCTGTAAATTAATCAAAGCTATTATTTTAGGAAGTTGGTAATGGAAAGGCCTATGATCTATCTACCAAGAAGGGCTACCAAGGCCATGTGTTATATATATATAGACAAGAGAGAGATTCACATAATTAAACCAATATATTATTATTAGTTGTGATCCAACTTTTCCTGATTAAATTTAGCAATAACAAACTCTTGACGCTGATAACTCTTGTGCAGCATACAAATTCATGCACGCAACAGTTTTGGTGATGTCGATTATATGTTATCAATTTGTGAGTACAGAAAGATAACCAAGAAAAGCGCGCCTGGTGTTGAAGAGACACCAAATACATCCATATCCAGTTTAATCTTCCTCGGATTGCTGAGCTCTTCTAGTCTCTGTGGTCCTGTCTTTCTTTTTCTGAGTTCCATCTATTTCTTACTACAACTCTGGCTCTGTTCTTTGCTTTTGTTTTGTCGAGTAGTTGTTGTCAGTTATTGTGTTTTCTTCATCTGCCTGTTTGGGCTCCTTCCCATTTCTGGGCCTTCGCCTTGTGGTTTGTTTTCATTCCTGTTGGGCTTAATCAACTTGGGCTCCTCCCAATGAAAACAAACAAAAAAAGTCAAAGCTACCTGTTGACCACTAGCTGATAGATGTTAGAATGTGAGTCACCCATTTCACACCGAACCGACTCACCGGGTCAACTTCTAACGGTCACACCTCCCAAAGGCCAAATCTGCCACGTACAATATCATCGTATCCATCCAACGGTGAAACACTGATGCACGCCCCACCATGTGTGCTCGCCCACATTTTTAATTATAAAAAAGAAAATTAAAAAACCGTTCATATTTTATTACAAGCTGCAATAAATAAGTTAGCACCTTTTCTAAAAAGAAGGTCCAAGTTCTCTTCACATACACGTGTGGGTCCCACAATCTCCCTTCAACATGACAACTGATCCCTTCCTTTCTGAGTCAGCTTCGTTCTCCGGTTTGTTTCGTTAGTTTTTTATTCCTTTTTCGTTTTGGCTGTTTGTAATAAGTTGGTTTCTTGGGTTTGTGTTGGGCTAGCAGTGGAGGATTTGGTGTTGCTGGCAGTGAAAGATTGGGTTTTTGGCGGTGGGCGGTGGGTCGTTTTGCATTAAAAAAAGTTCAGTTTAGCAATAAAGTTTTGATTTGTGAGACAGTGAATAAGGTGAAATTTGGTTTAGCCACGGGAGGCACGAGGTGTGTTCTTTTAGGTACCTTTCTGATTTTTGTTTCTTTTCTTGCTTACTCTTCCATTTTGAGAAGCTGAAAGCTTCTTTTACTTATAATTTTGGTTCGTTTTCCTTCTACGGCTTCTACGGAGGAAGAAAATGTCGGTTTTCAATTTCTTCTTCTACTAAAATGGAAGAAGGGTTGTAAAACCCAGAAAAAAATAACGAGTGAGGAAGCTTATAGACAATTTTGATTTGAAATAGAATTTAGCAGATGGGTTGGTTAGATCTTTAGAATTTAGCAGATGGTTATGTCAGTTTTACTCCGAAAATCCAGGTGGGTGTTTCCAAATCTTAGAATACGGAAGTGAGTTTTCAATTTTTAAGTTGGTATCGCACTGATACGATTCAACTAGTTCTCTTTAGTTTTTCGGTTTGCAAGTGAAATTTGGTTCTTCAGGAGTTTGAAAAATAAGAACTTTCAACCAAGCAAAATGCTGTGAACAAGTTAATCACTTGGGTGGATGCAATGTTAAGAGAATTAGCTCTTGGATTGTTAGTTTTCTATTTCATTAGATTTGTTTCAGCCATTGATAATGACTTTGCACATTGTAATTGTGACGAGGAGGGTTTTTGGAGCATTCCAAACATTTTAGAGTACCAAAGAGTGAGTGATTTCTTGATTGCAATAGCATATTTTTCAATCCCTATAGAACTTCTTTACTTTGTCAGCTGCTCAAACGTTCCATTCAAATGGGTCCTCCTTCAGTTTATTGCGTTTATAGTCCTTTGTGGATTGACCCATTTGCTAAATGCATGGACGTACAACGGCCGCCAATCATTCCAGTTGATGCTGTCCCTCACCATTGCCAAATTCCTCACAGCCTTGGTCTCATGTGCAACTGCAATAACCCTTTTAACTCTGTTTCCTCTTATTCTCAAAGTGAAAGTGAGAGAACTGTTCTTGAGGCAAAATGTGTTAGAATTAGACCAAGAGGTTGGGATGATGAAGATACAAAAGGAAGCGAGTTGGCATGTCCGAATGCTGACCCGTGAAATTAGAAAGTCACTGGATAAGCATACCATATTGTATACAACTCTGGTTGAGCTTTCAAAGACATTAGACTTGCATAATTGTGCTGTTTGGATGCCGAATGAGAATAGAGCAGAGATGAACCTGACCCATGAGTTGAAATCAAGTTCTTCGCGAAATTATCTCCGTTCTATCCCAATTAATGACCCAGATGTGTTGGAGATAAGAGAGAGCGAGAGGGTAACAATCCTAAGGCCTGAATCAGCACTTGGATCTGCAAGTAGTGGTGAGTCTGGTGAATCAGGTGCTGTGGCAGCAATCCGAATGCCAATGCTTCGGGTTTCAAATTTCAAAGGGGGTACACCGCAGTTGGTTGACACTCATTATGCGATATTGGTTTTGGTTCTTCCAGTAATGGATTCTAGAGGTTGGAGCCATCATGAGATGGAGATAGTTGAAGTTGTGGCTGACCAGGTTGCTGTGGCTCTATCCCATGCTGCAGTACTTGAAGAGTCTCAACTAATGAGAGAGAAACTGGGTGAACAAAATCGTGCGTTGCAACAGGCGAAGAAGAATGCAATGATGGCCAGCCAAGCAAGGCACTCATTTCAGAAGGTAATGAGTCATGGAATGAGAAGGCCAATGCATACGATTTTGGGCTTGCTTTCTATGTTTCAAGAGAATTTAAGTTTCAAACAGAGCTTAATTGTGGACACAATGGCGAAAACTAGTTATGTTCTCTGCACTTTGATCAATGATGTGATGGAGATGTCAGCAAAAGATAATGGAAGGTTCCCGTTGGAGATGAGGCCATTTCAACTACATTCTATGATCAAGGAAGCTTCTTGTCTTGCCGAGTGCCTGTGTATGTATAAAGGCTTTAGTTTTGAAGTTGATGTTCAAAGCTCATTGCCTAATCAGGTGATTGGGGATGAAAGAAGGGCTTTCCAAGTAATATTGCATATGGTTGGGTATCTATTGAGCACCTATAATGGCGTGGGGACTGTCATCTTCCGGGCTATTTCAGAGAGTGGTAGTGAGGGCCAGGATGATAGATTGCAAGGAATCTGGAGATCAAATGTACCAGATGAGTACGTATCTATAAAGTTTGAATTTGAGATTAGTGAGGGAAGTTCTCGTCCTGGTGGATTAGTCTCATTGACGCACTATGCTGGTGGGAGGCACAACAATGATGAAATTAAGAAGGGCCTGAGCTTCAGCATTTGTAAAAAGATTGTCCAGGTAAGTGCTGTGTATTTATTTATTTATTTTTCAATATTGGTCGTTCTGCTTGATGTACATTTTCTACAAGAAATGCCAAAAAGTTTTATTAAGACTTCAGCACTGCAGCTTGCCTGACTGTAAGATGTTTGGCTCCTTTGTTTTCAAATTGAAAAGTTGGCCTGCACCTTTCCAAAACATACGTCTTCTGTCTGGCTCATTTATAGAGTTCGATTTCACTTTTTTTTTTAAATTGGTCAAAACTACGATGCATTAGAATTGATATGAGAAGACAAATTATATGTAATTTTATCAACTTATGATTCTTCTATAATGAATTATCTGCAGATGATGCAAGGCAATATCTGGATATCCATGAACCCAGTGGATTTTGCAGAAAGCATGACACTTGTTCTCAGGTTTCAAATCCTCCCATCTATTGGGAGAAGTATGTATCTCCCTGGAAATAACTTGGAGCAACCAAATTCCAACTCACAGTTCAGAGGCCTTCGGGTTATAGTAGCCGATGATGATAACGTAAACAGGACTGTGACCAATAAGCTGCTCGAGAAACTCGGCTGTCAAGTAACTGCTGTTTCTTCCGGGTTCGAATGCCTGAGTGCCCTCAGTGATGCTGAAAATTCATTTCAAATTGTTGTTTTGGATCTCCACATGCCTGAAATGGATGGGTTTGAAGTGGCAATGAGAATCAGAAAATTCCACAGCCCTAATTGGCCATTGATCATAGCTCTGACAGCAAGTGCGGAGGAACATGTGTGGGAGAGATGTCTACAGATGGGAATGAATGGATTGATTCGAAAACCTGTTCTATTGCAAGGGATGGCAGATGAACTTCGCAGAGTACTGCAATGAGCAGTTTTTCTTCCACATCTTTTTCAGGCTCTCTAATGAGCACAAGTTATAGAGAATCCAACTTTAAACTTAGTTTTCACTTAATTAGAAAATATAGTAGTTATATATTGCTAACCATATGCCCTTCATATCACAATTAAACGTCACAGACTCTGTTCTGTTGTATGAGTGCTCTACTGAGCTATATACTCCATTGATTAGTATAATTGCTCCACTAAGCTATTTACTCCAATCCAATCAAAACAGATTGTGTTGTGTTGCTCTTTCAGATTGGGTTGCCCTGGTGCTTCAACACAAGTTTTAGGAACCTACATCCAGTTGCTTCTGCCTTTGTATTTTTTTCTTTTTCTTTTTCTTCTTTTGGTCTCTGAACTGATCATATTCAAAAAGCCTGAGGGAAAGGAACATAAATTTATTTGATCAATAACAATAATAATAATAACAAAGTCAACAAAAAAAAAAAAACAAGGGTGTTTTTGACTATCCAGATTTTTTTTTTGTTCTATAAATCACTCAACATCTTGCAAGTTTGTAGTTTTCACGTGTGGCTTCCCGGAAAAAGAAATGAAAAAAAACTGGCTTCGCACGTGTTTGAAATTGACGCCAAACCAGAGCCCTAACATCTGAACTGAAGCAGAGCAAAACCAGAGTACCAGAGAGAAGCGCCATTGCCCTTCCTTCTCTAGTCTCTCCTCTCATCTCCTATAATTGTATTATTACATTTCAGTCCTCCTTCTTCTTCTTCAGCCTCCAGCTAGCCCTCTCTCTGCGCGTTGCAGTCTCACCCCTGTCTTTCATAATTTCAACCGTTCACCTATATTGAAAATTGAGTAAAATTGAAGAAAATGAGAAAAGCAGAGTACTTTAGCAAGGACTTCGACTGGGATGAGCTAAGAGTTCAGGTGGAAAACGACCCGTCGTTCAGCTACCACTTGCTCCCCTTCCAACCCAACCCCATTTCAATTTCACTCGCAGATGAAGCGCATTATGCTGCTGCTGGGTCTCACGCATGGAACGCATTTCACCACCGGCATGCCTCTGGCAAGTTCTTCAAGGTCCCATTGCTTTTCCTCTCTTAACCCTTTTGATTAAGGAATATGCCATTTCATTTGGGTTGTTGAATGTTGATGATTATAGGAAAGCCTCCATCTTTCTATGTAACTATAGATAGTTACTGTGTAAGTAAAGTCTCCATCTTTTTCAAATTGGGGTTTCAGTTCCAATGTCACTAGTATCTGGGCTTTGCATCATATTTGTTCTTTCTCGTTTATTTCAATTTGCCCCTTAGGGTACTTATGATCCATTTTTCTATTCTCTTGTTTTATTCAGTCTATGCGATTTAATGCAGGAAAGACGATATCTGTTAGAAGAATTCCCTGAACTAGTCAACTGCAAAGAGAATTCTAAGGTTTTGGAGGTGGGATGTGGTAATGGCAGCACTGTTCTTCCTATATTACGGTATCCTCTAAACTTGTCTCGTTTCAAAATTTACTTGCATGTATGATTGCCGGTCTTTTAGAAATCTGAATCCTCCGCAGTAACGGCCTTTAATTAGTTGAGGTTTAGTAGTCTTAGTTTTTTTTTTTCTCTTCAGTTAATTTGCTCTTTCTGTCTGGTTTGCAGTCTTAGGTTTGGTTTATGTTTTGTTTATATGTATATTTTCATTAGACTGGAGATATTTGTCATAGGTTTCAGACCATGCTGTTTGCTTTCTACCTGTTATCCTCACACGATACTATTTCCTCCACAGTGGCAATGAAAACATCATTGTTTATGCTTGCGATTGCAGCAATGAGGCCCTGGAGAGGGTTAAGGAGACGGTATATACCTCTAACAAAGTATCTTTCGAACATCGTTTTCATCCATTTTGTTGTGATTTTTCTGTAACCGCGTTTCCAACATGGTTGGCCTGCAATCCTTGTCAAGAAAATATTGCACAAACACAGCAGGTGTGCTTTTCAGGTTAGTTACTTCATCTGTTTATTGTATGTTTATATGCAGTACAATCAGACTCATATAAGGTATAATAGTATAATACTCAAACAGTTTTCTTGTTTCTCCAGATGGTAGAGGGAAAAGTGAAAAAAATCTTAATGATTCATATTCATTAAGTGAAAGTAGATGTTGCATTGGTGGGGTTGATTTTGTTACCTTGGTAAGCATTCATTACATCAAACTGGCCAGAGAACCTTTGAATCTTACATTTGCCCATAGACTTTGTTGGATCAGAAATCTTTTGTCTGAATGCTTGCTAACTGGGAAAAAGATAGAGCTTTAGGAGTAAAAATACTTTGCTTGTCTCAAATCATCTGGTCTCTATTTGGTAAAGATTTTCTGTCAATTCAAACAGAGACTTAGGAAGTTGCTGAACTGCATTTAGATTTCTTTGCTAAATATTAGTATGCTAACCACTTTGTAACTTTTATTTCTAGAATTTTATTGGTGCTCCTCTGTTTTGACCTCCATTGCTTTGAGTTGTTAGGCTAGAATACTTTTCCACCATTTTCTTCTCATCAAAGAAACAGATTTTGGTGATTTGAGTTTCTTTTTTCACTGTGAAATATGTCAGATTTTCACACTGTCAGCATTACCACTTCATAGGATGCCAGAGTCCATCAAGGAGTGTTTTTCTGTCCTGAAACCTGGAGGCCTTCTGTTCTTTAGGGATTATGGTAATTGATTAATCTGAGCCTGGTTTGGACTTGGAGCTGTAAAAGATTTTAAAGAGCTCTAGCTCTCAACCCCTTTTCAGAAATATTTCTAATATTTTTCCTGCTGACGTAATCAGTTTGATGAAATTCAGGCCTCTATGATATGTCTATGCTTCGATTTGAGATGGACAAAAGAGTGGGATTCGGGGAGTATATGCGATCAGATGGAACCCGCTCTTATTTCTTCTGTTTAGATACTGTGAGGAATCTATTTGTGGGTGCAGGCTTCACTGAGGTACTAATTTTTCTAATGTATTCCATAACACTGGTGGGTCCAATAAACCAGGATTTGAATGGTCATCTCATTTATCTAATTTTACATATTGTTACCACAAAACAATTGGGGTGGGGTGGGGTGGGGTGGGGGGGGCGTGGAGATCCTAAAATTAGATGTGCACATACTTGCTTCATTTTCTACTGTCTAATGTTCCATAACTTGTGGTTATGTCAGATTGAGCTTGAATACTGCTGCGTTAAGTCGGTTAATCGTCGAAATGGGAAGAGCATGCGAAGGGTGTGGGTTCATGGAAAGTTCCAGAAGCCTGTATGAAATGAAGTCATTTGAAGCGGTCTCTCTTGTTGAGATGCTGCCCTTTGAAGAAATCATGCTGCTTTTTTCTACAATGTAGCTTGCTGTGAGCAACTTTTTCTTTATATGTATATGAGAAAGGTACAAATTTGGGGCTCCATTAAATTTCTGAGAATAGCTGTGAAAGCCAATGCTCAAATTAGCTAATGTGTTTTCTCACAAGAAAGAAAGGCCAAAGTATACGATAACTTTCTACCTAATCTAAATTGTTCTTCACTAGATGAAGGCAGGGGCGGAGCCAATTAAGGCCTAGGAGGGTCATATGACCCTTCTGACCCAATGGTAACAGTGTACATATTACCTTATTTCCACTTTCCACTTTCAACATTTAAGTAAATGTCTTTGTCATTTTACTTTTATTTATTTTTATGTTACTCCATTTACTTAAGTTTACAATGTAAATAAGGAAGTACCCCCCATTTGGATTCAAATAAAAATACTAGAAAATCAAATTCCCACCAAATCAAAATATGAAAAATCGGTTTTAGTGTAAAATACGATTTAGGCTAAAAATGATGGCTCATTAAGTCAATATATACTTCATACTAAATTCCCATAAAATCAAGTTTTCTTATTTGATGTGTGAGGAATAAAAGCCGCCAAAAATTATCTTCAGAAAATGATTATTCCAAAAACCCAATTTTCATACTTAGTCAATATTTTTACATAAAACAATTTTTCATGTATGATATGAATGCATGAAGGAACTAAGGTCAATCTAGGTAAAAATCCTAATCCACTATAATGTTAAACCCTATTTGGTTTATGTTAAAACTTATTGAAAATTAGTTTATGGAGCTATGAACTAGCGTGGTTTATATGATTTAATGTTTACTTTTATTTCTACAAAGACTATAGAAATTGTAAGTATACGTACCAAAAAAAATAATCATTAAATTTTAAGCTAATAACTTTAGCTAGCCCACCCGTTGAAAAATTCCTGATTCCACCCTTGATGAAGCATATGGAAGTGGGTGGTAGAGCAACTGGTTTGACCTTCTACCACGTAAGTGTTTTTATTCATGTTCAGTTTAATTAGCAACATCTTCCAATATTGTCTTAAAACCCATTAAATATTTTTGGAACAACAACCATCAAAGTTTTCTTATATAATTGAACTTATTCTAAAATATTTATGTAGAAAAATAATGGATACTTAAGATTTTAGGTTATTAATCTATTATCTCATAGTTTTATTCTCATGGCACATCCTTGTATGCATTTTTCTTCTCCTCTAAACCATCATAGTCCAAGTCTGGTGGTGGTATGGCTTTTCCATTTATCTTGGCTAATAATGTTGACCCTCCTTGAGAGAATTCCTGGCTACGTCGCTATGAAGGAATTAAGCTCTAAACTTTTTTTTCCAAAACTGAGTAAATTTTGTTACGGCTACAAATGGGTAGGGTAGTGGACAATGGACGGGTCGAATTCCATTTGCTTGATACATGTATCCGTATCCTGGATAGGGGATAACCAAAACCCGGCGGTTCTCTATGGACCAAAATGCCCACATCATCCACGTGTAGTATACCGAGCTCCCTACCTGACCAAAATGACCTAAGTTTGGGCTGTTCTCTAAGTTTAGTCAAACTGATCCGTTCTTGGTCAAAATGTCAAAAGGAAACCCTAAACCAGTTCCTTTGGAATTGGTACCCAATTATTCAACCCAAACCATCCTTTTTTACTACTTCTCTTTATTTTCCTTCTTTGTTCATTATAATATTTGTATAATAATAATGTGCGAACATTTGAAAAATATATATATATAAAATTGTTTTTCTTCTAATAATCTCCATGCAATATCTGAAACAAAGTTGGCCTTACAAAGGTTTTTTGTAATGATCAATTCCTCCCTTTAACAATTTGGTTTGTTCCTGCTCGAAATAATGGAACACCACCTGTTTTACTGAACTGCAGTCTGCAGAGGTTTATAAAGTAATCAGGCTATTGAAAAGCTATTCTAAGCTAAAGCTTGCATTTAAATATGTAAATCGTAAACTAAAGACATTAATTAACACAAAAGCAGATTGTGACTGGTATGCACATCTTACAGATTAATTGAAAGGAGGAAAATTAATTAAGATAGGCACTCCCATCCCATGAATCATGATTAAAGTAAATATTCTAATCAATCTAAATGAGATCCAAGATTGTATATGACTTGTTGATCAATCTAAATGAGATCCAAGAGCTGGTTGTCGTGTTGTCATTCGAATAGCGATCAGTTCATACAGAATATATAGCTGCGTAATTTAATTTAATTTAATTTAATTTAATTAGGTTCAAAGCGTTTTAGCATTAAAGTAGTGGTAAACATGCTTGAAGCACGTCAATTACAAAAGCAAGCCTGCACTGCACTGCACTGCATCCATCTTTTAATATAAAATTAATTATAATATTAATGAACGAATGCCCTATTAGTAGCTTTTGCAGGACAGCAGTGAAGTAGGAGAGCAGAGCACCTAATCCGGCCAAAGACAACGTGTACTCCACGGCAGGTGCATGCATCCAATCCAATCCAATACAAATTTTAATTAATATTTATAAATTAATTGTGTTTGCATCATTCACATTCACCATGGCATCAGAGGTAGAGTTGGAAAGTGATAATATGCTTTCAGTTTTTTCTCCACCGGTGATGCATGATGATTTATTTTATTCGTTAATTATGTCAGTAGGGTTTCCATTAATTAATTAATTAATTAATTTATTATTATTATATTATGCAACTTCAACTTTATTGGGTTGTCCTCATTTCCTTAATGCCGTTTTTGCGGATTCCCTTTCCAAAGTATTATAGTTAATTGCGTTGTTTAGACTTTCATACAGAACCGGGGGCTTCAAAACATGTTGGTAAAACTACACCAGCATAGAGCAATGAGCAGCAATGAGCAAAGACAACTACTGGTGCACGAAAAGGAGGTTTTATTTGTTTTCTAGTCTTAGTCGTCCCAAGATTATTTAATTGTAATCATCCTGGTCTGCTTTTAATATTAATCTTCTCAAGGTGGGTTCCATCCACATCGCAAAACTACTTTTACCATTCTATATAAATAATTTTATAATTTAGAACGAATGTTGTATGCAAATTACTAGGTAATATTATTATAAACAAATGTAAATTAATTAGGGTTGATTAAACAATGACATGTGAGTCCCATGTGAAGAGGGTCCTCCATGTTTTAGTATATACAACTCCATATCTGGCTTTGGCCTGGGATTATATCATCATCTATATATATCCTTTGAGAGCCAAGAAGATATCCTTTAAAGTTTTCCTTTAATTCATATTAATCTATCTAACTTGAATTTTGTCGTGCATCATGTCCCATCCAAATATAAAACAACCTTCTATCTTAATTATAATAATAATAACAGGATTTGTTATATTAATCCAGAGATGACCTTGTTTTGGACAAGTCATTTCGTTCTTCCCCATGACTGATATATTCAAGGGATTTGCTGCACTCATCTTATACGCATGCCCTGATCTGATGGCCTTTCAAATAACTGGGTGTGTTTCTTCTCCCAAAAGCTCGAATTTTTTTCTTCATATAAATTCTCCCATATGTGGATTTTCGGACATTATTATCGTGCAAACACTACGTATTTTCTATTATCTCTCCCTGTGTTCCTCCATATTTACAATAATATCCACACGATAATAATATGCGGATATGATAGCTTATAATTTATAATTTGAACAATAAACTTGTATATGGTAGCTTAGTAATCTGCTGACGATTGTTCTCCATTACGCACACACTAAGACTAAGTAGTGCTATATGTATATGTGAAAGATGCATGTCAGGGGACTAGTTGCATTGCAGCACCTTATAATTTATACATAGATTAGACATCCATGGCAAAGTTTTTGGAATCCTATATATACCAATATAATATAACATATATATATATATATATATATATATATATATATATGCAGTTTAATTAGGTGAATATATATATATATATATAATTTACACAACTGCAGCCAAAGTTGACCACCAAAGCTGGTCCTATAAAACTAGCTAATAGAAAATTAGCTAGAGAAACAGACCTGCGTATTAAACTCTTAAAAATTAGACTTAAAAAACTAGATAATATAATTAATATAATTATAAAGAGACGAACATGTGTATAGCCAATGAAAATCCCACCACAAAACATTTATATAATATAAGAGCAGTATATATATGATATCATATACTAGTATATATATATATAATATACAAAATAGATGCCAAAGATATATGTTGTAGAAATTAATTAAAATATATATCTTGTACTTTTTCAATTTAACACATCCATCAATCATGGTTGTTTTTCTCTGGTAATTAACTAATATATATATACCTGTTGATGTAGATAAAATGACTAATTCATAAAAGGCTAAAATTAACTAACTAGAGAAGAGAAGAAGAAGAAGAAGAAGAAGAAGATGGTGATGATGATGATGCAGAAACAAAATAGTTAATAACTATCATGATCATTATTGGAAAATATACATAGAGTCTACACACAGAGAGTACAATCCACTGATGACAAGTTCTTCAACTCAACTCTAAGCACAAGAGAGATTTGCAGCTTCATTCATTCAAAGTTTCTCTCAAATTCAAGTTAATTCCAAACACTACTACTACAACTGCTAATTACTCATTCTCAATATATATATTATTCATAATTAATTCACAATAATCCATATCCCTAAATTGATTGATTAATTAACTAACTAATTAAAATGGAGGCCTACCACCACCTTGACCATGCGCCCATGATGAATAAGCCGCCCCTTGATCATGGCTCAGTGCCTGTCCTCCACCATTCGGAAGCAAATTCGGCGGCAAGTTATAAACCCCCACCCCCATCGACGGGTCCCCCATCCCTCCTCCGCTACCACCAATCCCTGGTGAAGACCCCCCTCCTCCCGCCGCCTGCCCCGAATTATTACCACCCACCTCTTCTTCCTCCTCCAACGGCAATCTCTCATACGTCGCATTTGAAAACGTGGCTGCGATCACCATCACCGGCCCCGAGGCCACAAGCGGGCCCACCACGCTGCCCCCAACAACCTGTCCCTGCACGCCCGCCAAGTATATAGTCATTCCAGTTGACCCGGGCGGTGCCGGTCCGGGCAAAAACGCCCCGGTCAACGAGAGAATCTCGAACCTTCCGTGAAGCGCCATGACCGAGCCTGCAGGGGAGGTCTGCCTGATTGTGACGTTGGTGACGGTGCCGCTTCCGCTCAGGACGCAGACGCCACGCTGTCTTGTTCTGGCGAACCGGGCGACGCTGTCGGCGATGTCGGCTCCGTTGGATATCTCCATGACGTGGCTGCGGAGGGCGTTAGGGCTGTCCCTGGTCACGAAAATGGGTGGCTTGGGCTTGTTCTTGGAGCCCGGGGGACGGCCCCTCTGGCGTCTGGTGGCGACTTCGATTGCGCCCTCTTTGGGATCATCGCTGTTGTTGTCTCGGTCATCGTCGTCGTCGCCGCCTGATCCTCCGAGGCTGCTGGTTCCGGTGTTGTTGTTCATTGAGATTCCCAGATCTGGTTTAATGATGTTTTTCATTGGAGAGTTGGTGGCTGCTGCTGAGGTTTCATTCACTCCTCCTGATAGACCTACCTGTCCAGCCCACCATCGGTTCGCCATGATCGATCCAGAAAAATGAAAAAGAAGCTAGCACGGATCGATGTATATATAAATTTAAATCTCTTAGATCTTAACGATCATATATATATATATATGGTTAATTAAGGTGATGAACAATTTTTCACTCTTATAGTTATACAAGTAGAAGAGAAGAGGCTGATTTTGGGTTCACTCTCGATTCTCGAAGCAGGGAAGAAAGCTAATATATTAAAAAAAAAAAAAAAAAAAAGGAAAACCAAGCAACTAGAAGTGATGATAGTAAGCTTGAACAAGAAAGAGCCGCATATCTGTAGGAGGATGTTTTCTGCTTAAAGAAATGATAGCAAACAGTAAAAACTAATTAATTAGAAGAGGTAGGGTAAAGAAATGGGAAAATTGAGAGAGCTATATAGGTAGCTAGCCAGCCAATTATATAAGAAGTGAAGTGTAAGAGAGATCAGATTTAATGAAGAAGAAGAAGAAGAAGAAGAAGAAGAAGAAAGTTTGGTTTTGGGTAGGGGTTAACTTGGGTAGGGTAGGTTGGGTGGGTGTCAAGGTTAAGGTCTGTCTAGGAGAGCTTTTGTGTTCTTTTCTTTCTTTAGGTTTCTCTCACTAGAAAACTCTCTCTCACTACAAGCTGATCAGAAATGAGAAGGGGATGGGAATTGAGATATAAAAAAAGAGAAAGAATATGGGGAAGGTGGTGTATGCCAATGCCATGGGGTGTCGGTCTTGGGAATTAGGGTTTAGGGTTGCGTTGCGTGGGGTCGCGTGCGCGTGAGAAGGTGGGTTGCACGTCCTCCTCTCCTTTCTTCTCCTTTAGCTAGCTCTCTAGTAGCTAACCCTTCTCATGATCATGATGATGGATGCATAATTACATAACCCCCCATCTTCCCCCCACCCCCTCCACTCTAAGTCTAAGTAGTCTATGTGTAGTTGTGTGTGTGAAAATTCTCATTCTTTTATAATTTAGACTATTGCTTATACTAAAAAAAAAAAAAATATCAAGTCGGCATAAACAAATACAAAAAGCACTAAGAATTAATGAGATTCGTCAATGTGCGTACTTCCTCGGTGATGTTGTAGATAAATCCACTAGTTAAACTAAGCAAAATGTTACAAATATCACCCTTTTAGCCCCTTTTTGTAAACCCTAATTCTTATAATCTCTCTCTCATCCTTGGTCACCCTCTCTTAGCGCTCCATCTAATTAAGTTCACTTTAGGTTGAAATTAGGTCAAAAGTAATATGTATATAGGTAATTCCTAGATAGTTTCAAGGTGTACTTGGGGATTTTGTTTTTGTTTTTACCTCCAGGCACAACACAAACAGATTAATCAAATCAAAGGATATCTTATAGTAATGAACAACAGTAACTACGTACGTTAAGTACACTACAAATGGGAATGCAGTTTTTGATAGCTAGCTTGTTATTTTCCTATGCATAATGCATGCTAGTTAGAGCATTTCCTAGTTTTTAGCATTTCTCTTGTATTCTATATCTAAAACATATAATTTCAAAACAAAAAGCTGCCTCTGCAATATTATAGTTTATCAACTACAAAGAAGGTTGTCGTTTGATAATACAAATAATATATATATATATATATATATATATATTTTAATACAAGCGATAATCTAAACTATAAAGAATGAGGATTTCTCACACATAAATTCAAACATGATATTTTTGATCGCCAAGTCTAGACCCTAATATTGTTCAATTCGGGGTGAGCTAGTCCATGGGAAACAAGGGATGAGAGTAGGGGTGTTCAATTAATATTCGACTTTTACTCCCACAATCTTTTCATTATATCATCTCCATAACGTGAAATTATTTGAAGTTAATTCTTCGATATATTCTCTCTTGTAAATATTCTGCCTATTCAAGTTATTTCAACCTATTACCACTCCACCATCTTTGCATGCTCCCTCTTTTTTCTTCTTCTTAAATTCTAAGATTATATATGTAGTTTGATTAGAAGGGGTGCCTATATATAATCTCGATAAATTATTATATGGTACCGTACTTCAATCTTGATTTACACTCAAACCATAAAAGTAGCCCTTGCCTATGCATACAATGACTTGGAATACATAGTACACTGGTAATTTTTTTTAAATACATCTTAAAAATTTCATCATTACATTATAATAATTTACTTATAATTAAGCTTGTAGTTAGTAATTATGCCTTGGGTTAAATGCGGACAAAAAAATAGTAACTCTTTGCTGGTGCGCCAAGTAATTTAACAGTGGCATAACAAACAAGTGGTAAATTAGTAATTATGCCTTGGGTTAATTGCGGATAAGTCTGAACTGATCGTGTCCGGCCCAATGAAATGTATTGACGGTTAGTTGTGTGCTGCATTGTAATAGGCCCAATATTAGACCGGGTTCCGATTTCAACAATATATGAACCGGGTTGAGACCCATCGGGTCGGATCGTCGTTTCTACTTACGCGCTGGTTTGGTCATTCTGAACTCGTTGGAGAGAGACATGGCTGACGACCTGTTTGAAGGCCTCCCTCCACCTTCTGCAAACCCTCCTCCTTCTTCTGCTTCTGAACTTCAAGAGCGGAAACCACCGCAGGAAGCGTTAAAACCACAACAAAAACGAAAAATCGCTACTTTTAACACTGACTCTCCTTCTTCTCCCGCTCCTGCTCCTGCACCTCCTCCCCCAAAACCAATTCTCAAAAGCGCCCTCAAGCGCCCTAAACCCTCTGAATCAAACGCAGAAGAAGGTAATTCTTTCTTCATTTCTCCTTTGTTTGTAATTGCGTGGCTTCAAAACCCATTATTTTACTTGTGTTCCTTGATTATATTTCCGAGGGCTGCAAAAAAGTGCTTTTAGGGTTTTACTCCTGCATTAGTTTTCGATGCTGAGAAACCCCAATAATAAAAATTGAACTCATTTTCTCTGGGACTTGCATTGTTTATGTTATTTGGTTTCATGTAGTTTGTTTCCAGTTCAAATTCTAGCTGCCAATCCGGGTCTTCTTGACATTTTATTATACTTAGGGCCCATTTGATAACCATTTCAATTTTAGTTTTTAGTTTTCATTTTTCATTTTTTGTGCTAGAGTATAGAGGAAAAAGAGGGAGAATGGAAGTGAGAATGAGAGTGAATATGGGATTGAGAGGGAAGATGACAAGGGAGGATGGGAGGAAGGAGTAACAAAAGTGAAAAAAAAAACTAAAAACTGAAATCTATTTGAAATTTTTTTCACTTTCAAGTTTTTGTTATCACTTTTGTTACTCCTCCCTCCCATCCTCCCCTCTCATCCTCTCTCTCAATCTCATCCTCACTCTCATTTTCCTCTATATTATAGCACAAAAACTGAAAACTAAAAACTAAAATTGAAATGGTTATCAAACGGGCCCTTAGATTCTCTTTATTTCTTCATTTATGCTACTTTTATGTATGAAATTTCAATGTTTTTAAAATGAAGCTAAAAGTGTTGGAACTGTTTTTCAGCCCCTGTAACTGAAAAAAAGTTGAGGTTTAAAACCACGACAGATGCCTCAGAGCAGCAGGTCATTGAGGCAATGCAGAAAATAGCATCACATATAAAGAATCCTACAAAGTTTAGTAAGGCTTCAAAGCTTGCCATCCAGCTGATTCAGGCGGGAAGTGTCAAGCCTGAAACTGGTGATTACTTCTTTTCCGTTCTAGAAGCTGCAATGGCATCACCTACTTCTTGTACGGATCCTTCTCTGCGAGCCGATTACCATGCACTGTTCTCAGCCGCAAAAGATGCCTCTGAGGTAAGATCATAAGTCCATGTATAGTACAGGGTAATGTTACTGCTGGTTCATGAATTTGTATTTGAATACTCAACTTACATCTCCTAATTTTTTTAATATTAGTGTCTCAATAAGAAGCAAAAGAATCAATTAACTGCATGGAGAATCAGGGCAGTGATGGCAAATGAATTATTTACTGATGACAGCTTCCAGGTGAGAACCTTTTTCTTTGGCATAGTTTGTGATCATACTTTCTGAATCATGTAATGACTAGCTTCCTTGTTATATGATTTAATGAGAAGCATGAACTGTGCAACCAATTTTGACATGCATTCTGACCCAATTATCCGTTGTTTAAAGTATGTGACATTAATATCCACACATCAGTATTTCCCCTTTCTTTGAATTCCTCGTAACAATTGATGACTGGTGTCTTGCGAATTGTTTATGATGGCTAATATATTTCTTGTATTTTTTCTAGGTTTTTTTTTTCTTGAGCTTTGATAAATATCTTGTCTGTCACTTTCTTGTAATTCATTCTTTATTTTAGCTAATAAAAATATATGTTTTCTATAATAAATAATCGTTTTGTTTCATGTAATATCTAATGATGAATTTTGGTTTGGAACTACTGTTTATTTTTATGATTTCTTCACCATGCCTAACTTGCCTTTTTTCTTTCTTTCTTTCTTTCCTTTCCTTCTTCTTTTTCCATTGTCATGCTTTTTCTATGTGAACTTTACAAAGTTTTCAAAAACAGCTGCACAAGTAAAAGAAGCCATATCTAATCTGCCAGTTGCAACCGAGGACGATGACAGAGAAGAAGCAGCTGTGCTGGAAGATGAAACAAAGATAGCAGATGAAGATGATCAAATGGAGCAAGATATGGTTTCAGCTGCTCCAGCTGAAGAAAATAATGAGAAAGAGTCTGATCCATTTGGGCTTGATGCATTTTTAACTCCTACCCCTATGAAGAAAGATGATAAAACAAAAGGGAAAAAAGATGGAACTACCAAGATCAGGAAGGAGGAGGGAGAGACCAAGAGATTCTTTAGGTCACAAAGAGAAGCCTTGGTTTTTTGTTTAGAGATAGCTGCTCATCGTTATAAAACGCCATGGTAGGTTCTTTTGAAATGTCAATTATTTCAACACATTCTATCAGGTTTATGACCTGAATAGCTAGAACTTATGTTTTATTTGATTCTACTTGTCAGGTGCCAAACAGTAATAGACATATTAGCAAAGCATGCTTTTGATAACATAGCAAGGTTCACTTCTAAACAAAGGAATGCCATTGAGAAACTTTGGGCTTCGATTCGGGAGCAACATAATCGACGAAAACAAGGGAAATCAGTTACTGGGAAACTTGATGTCAATGCTTTTGAGTGGCTGCAGCAGAAATATGCTACTGAGAAGATCAGCATTCGGCATTCTGTTGGAGGTAGTGGGGATCGTAAAACTGAAATGTGGCTTGGCTGATAATATATCTTTTTTTTGGTTACGAATGTTGACCATTCTTTAGAAGGAAGAAAGGGAAGCAAATTGTAATTGTTTATCTGGAATTTGTTTCAGTGTAGAATGTTTTCTCATCAATACAAAGAATGAATTAATTACATTTAGAATATATGTTACATTTTACAAAATAATTATCGGTTTGCTACCAATAATCACCACAAGAACAATATCCATCTCTGAAATGGTGAAAGCGGTTACGGTCCCTTACTATCATTACCCTCCCATATATTTTGGATAAAAGCTTGGTTGCTGTGTGACAATCTTCACAAACTCGGAGATTCTTTACAATCCGAATTGGCGTACCTGCAGCAGTGCTGATAAGACCGAATGCCATGGCCAGTCTCTCACTATGATAGTTAACCGCCATTTCTTTCTCTTCCTCATCGATGTTCTGCAACACAACAGAAGCGTTAGGAGTGTAACCAGCCTCTTTCAGCTTCTTGGTCATCTCAGCCAACATTTCATAAATCTTTCTTGTTTGAGGGTGTGCCTTATCTCCCATTATGAAGTCATGAACTGAGCCGTTTACTTCAATTAAGCTCAGTCCTGGTTCTTTCTTGGTTCCTCTATCTTTCATAGATTTTCTCACCCCATCAACTTCATTCCATCTGTTTGATGCTGCATAGATGTTTGACATCAGAATGTTGTAACCGCAGTTTTGAGGTTCCAACTCAAGAAGCTCTCTTGCTGCCACTTCAGCCAAGTTGAGATTCTTATGAATTTTGCACGCAGCAAGCAGGGCACCCCATACAATTGTGTTGGGCTGCATAGGCATGCTTTTGATCAATTTATGAGCCTCGTCAAGGTTCCCAGCTCGACCTAACAAATCCACCATGCATCCATAGTGCTCAACCTTAGGAGCCAAGCCATAGACATGAACCATTTTCTCAAAATGCCACTTTCCGTCTGCCACCAATCCAGCATGACTACAAGCATGGAGAACTGCTATGAAAGTGATGTCATTAGGCTTAACACCTTGTCTGTCCATTTGCTCAAAGAGTTCCAAAGCTTGTTTTCCACAACCATGCATAGCAAATCCAGTCATCATGGCATTCCACATGCAACTATCTCGATTTGAGGCTTCACTGAATAGCCTCAGAGCCATATCTATGTCCCCACACTTCGCATACATGTCCACTAGAGCTGTTCTTAATATGACATCAACTTCCATCCGTTGCTGGTTTATGTAAGAATGAACCCACTTGCCCAAGTCAAGGGCTCCAACTTCTGCACATAATGAAATGAGGCTACCCATGGTTACTTGATTTGGTCTTACTCCACTATCCTTCATCTGAGCAAAGAGGTCTGAAGCCTGATTAGTGCAATTGGCACGTGCATAAGCTGAGATCAAGGCACTCCAAATCATGACATCTTTGTTATCTACGCTATCAAAAAGAGCCCTTGCATATGTGATTTCCTTGCATTTTCCATACATATCAACCAAAGCAGTGGCCAATGCCAAAGACATGATAAACCCATTTCTCAAAATATAGGCATGCAACCACTTGCCCAATTCCAGAGCACCTACAGACCCAGACTCGATAACCAAACTCAACATCGTAATCTCATTGGGATAATTTCTTTCCACCAGCATTCTGTTGAAAAGTTTTGCTCCCTCTTGTAAATTTCTGCAATGTATGTATCCTGCGATCATGGCAGTCCACGAAACAATGTTCTTCTGAGCTAACCCATCAAAGACCCTCCTTGCATACTCTAAATTTCCACACTTTACATACATGTCTATTAAAGCAGTAGATATGGAAACTCCCAGTTTCTCATTAGTACTATTCCTTACAACATAAGCGTGCATCGCTTTCCCCATTTCTATATCTGCAACGTCTGCAAAGAGATTAACCATGCTAACCATGGCAATCTCACTAGGCTTTACTTGCATACAATGCATTTCCCTGACAAGTTCCAATGCCTCCCGAAACAATCTGTTTCTAACATAGCTCCTAATCATGGTACTCCAAGAAACAACATCTCTATCAGCCATTTGATCAAACAATAAGCGAGCAAATACCGCGTTCCCGCATTCACTATACATTTGGATCAACGCATTGCTCACGAAAACATCACTATCCAATCCATTCTTTAACGCAAAACCGTGCGTCTCTTTTCCTAAAACAGCCAAAGAGGATTGGCCGCAAGCTTTGAGGACTGAGGGGATGGTGAAACTGTCAACTTGGGTGTCCATTCTACGCATTTGAGCATATAATTTGAGTGCAATTTTGGGGCAGTTGTTCTTAATGTAAGAAGTTATTAAGAAGTTGTACTGGGCAGCAGGGCTCAAGTGGGTTTGGAGGTGCCTAAGAGGAATTTGAATGGTGTTATCAAATTGGGTTTTGATCAAGTGGGCATGGATTTGCTGGGTCTGTTCAAGGTGGGGGTGTTCATGTGGTGTGAAAGAAGTGATTGTTTGGTGCTTATATGGGTCTGAGTTTGGGTTTTTTATAGGGATTTGGTTGATTTTGAATCTGGAGGGAGGAAGGAGGAAAGGTGATAGGAGATGAGGTTTGGTTGTGACCATTATTTGGTCCATTTGCAGCACAGAATGCGGAATGGCATGCTTATCTGAACTACAGGCCCATCACTCCGCCTCTTGTGCATAATTTTAATAACAAAAGAAATATGGGGCAATTTGGAGAATATCCCAGAAAACAAGGATGATCTTGCAAAATAGTTACCATTTTAATCCAAAACCCTAAACCCATCCCCTTTCGCCTATATAAACACAATCTAAAACCCTAGACACTCATCTCATCTTCACTTCCGTCTCCAAGTGAAATCTCATCTGCAGGTACGCAGTTTCTCTGTCCCAACTCCCTTAATTTTCTCTCTCTTCAAGTTACTACATCGTTTTGTTCTCTATGTAATGCCATTGCATACCAGTAGTATATTTCTGAAGAAAAACAGTAAATTGAGAAAAGCACATATCGAAGGCTTATGGGTGCTATATGAATGCCCATGCGCTCAAAAGCTGTGCAAAATTATAAATCTTTCTTCTTTTCTGAATATCCTCTGGATATTTTGCTCGAGGATTGTTTGGAAGAATGATGACATTGCTAACTCCTGCTGTTGTTATTAATTTTTGTGTTGTTTGATGGACTCGTCTCATTTTTATTGGTTTCCCTGTTTTTCTCTTGAAAGTTTGTGTATTTGATATGAATGTAGGTTTATAAATAATATAGGTTTTTTATTATTCGAAATGTGAGAATTTGGAAAAAAGCTGCCCCGATTGCGTTATCGGATCAAGTAAAATATGTGGAAAGTATAATCTTTCACAGTTGTTTCTGATGTTAACTGATATGATCAAATATGTTTCGTTTTAATGTGGTTGACCCTGGAGCTGCTTGTTTGGTGTCCGCAGAGTGTGGAGTTTTTCTGACATTTTATATTTTATACAGGCTCTCATAAAAGAAAACATGAAGAACCCGAAAGTTTTCTTTGACATATTGATTGGAAAGATGAAGGCCGGCCGAGTTGTAATGGAATTATTTTCTGATGTGACACCAAAAACTGCTGAAAATTTTCGGGCTCTTTGCACTGGAGATAAGGGGATTGGAGCAGCAGGGAAGCCACTGCACTTTAAGGGCTCTACGTTTCATCGCATCATCCCGAATTTCATGTGTCAGGGTGGAGATTTCACAAGAGGGAATGGGACTGGAGGAGAGTCGATTTATGGCACGAAATTTGCAGATGAAAACTTCAAATTGAAGCATACAGGGCCTGGAATTTTGTCCATGGCCAATGCTGGACCAAACACTAATGGTTCCCAGTTCTTCATCTGCACTGACAAGACCCCATGGCTCGATGGAAAGCATGTCGTGTTTGGAAAAGTTGTGGATGGCTATACTGTCGTTAAAGAGATGGAGAAGGTGGGTTCAGATAGTGGGACAACTTCTCAACCTGTTGTTATTGAAGATTGCGGTCAGATAAAAGATGAGAATTGATGTTTGAACAGTTGACATCATAGCTTTGCTGATATTATTAGTTCAGTTTAGGAGGCTATTGTAAAGCAAATAAAACTTGAATAGTTTGGATCCTCATCATGTCTATCTTTGTGTGGATTTTCTAATCCTTATTTATGGAAATGGGATTGGCGAGGCATGTCAAATAAATACAATGTGTTAATAAATTATTTTCTTCGGTTCAATTCCTGGCTCAACTTGGATGCATTACTTACAGTAACCAGTTACCAAAGCTACCGAATGTGAGAAGAGAAGAGTGGGATTGCCCAGGGCTAGTTCTATTTGCTTCATAAAAAACATAAACAAATTTATAAGGGAAAAAGAAAAACAGACTGAAAATGGTGATGAAGGTGATGAGAAACGTGAAAGGGTATCTCTAGCACACAACACAAACTGAGTTCCTTCTGATCAAATTGCACCAAGCGCAAAGAGGTGCCGCTAGTTTATTTACATAAGCAAAGCAATGGAATTATTAGCTAGATATAGGTAGATGTTTGTCAATTGCAACACTCTCAGTCGGCTTGTCACATTGTCACAAGATTGCATATATAAAGGGGAGATTGAATACCCAACCCAACCCAGATATCATATACTCCCAATTGCTCACTAGCCTTTTCAGACAAGAAACAATGGCAGCTGCTGGTGGTGAGAGATATTGTAGCTACTTCCTACTTGAATTTGATTAACTGCTTTCTTTATGAAATGCACTAATTGATTCATGTTTTCTTTTTTCTTGAAATGAGAAAACTAATTGTGCTCCATGTTCTTCAATTGCTTCAAATAATAATTCAGATCATGGAAAAGTTACCACTATCCTTAGTATTGATGGTGGAGGAGTGAGAGGCCTCATCCCTGCCACCATACTCGCCTTTCTCGAATCTGAACTCAAGGTTAGTACTTACTTAGTATGTCTATGTTCCCCTTAGCTATTTTCTTCTTCTTTTTTGGATCAATAAAATAAATGTTGAAACTAACTTGAATATGTTCTTACTACCACCCAATTCAATAGACACTGGATGGAAAAGATGCAAGGGTTGCCCACTACTTTGATGTCGTTTCTGGGACGAGCACAGGAGGCCTTGTTACAGCTATGCTTACCACACCAACTGGAGAAAACAGACCTTTGTTTGAAGCAAATGAAATCAAAACATTTTATTTTGAACAGGGTCCTCATATCTTCCCTCGCGAACCAACTAAAACAGCTGTAATGTATGCATGCACTACCAACAATTAACAATTTTAACAAAAGTTTGTCTTTCAGTCTTTTGATACGCTGACTATTTTGGAATGTCAATAACGAGTCCCATAATTGATGAAGGCTTTTCCGCATATCCGGTTGGTTTGAAAAAATAAAGAAATGGGCGGAATGGCTAGAAACACCGGTAGAATACACCGTGACCTTTGTGAAATGGGTTGAGAAAGCATTGCGCCCCAAATACAATGGTACTGCCCTGCATGACATAATCAAGAAGGTAATGGGAAAAACACGGCTTCATGAAACTATAACCAATGTCATCATTCCCTCTTATGACATCAAGTTTCTCCAACCAGTCATCTTCTCCACCTTGAAGGTACATACATTATTTAATATTTGAACTAGTTAATAACATAATTAAGTTCGTTAGTCATTCATTAAATTTGTGTGTCCTTCATGCAGGCAAAACTCGATCCATCAAAGGATGATGTTCTGCTAGCAGATGTCTGCATTGCCACATCAGCAGCACCATCCTATTTCCCTCCTTACTATTTTGAGCATAAACCATCCAATGGAGTCCCGAGAAAATTTAACCTCATCGACAGTGGTGTTGCAGCCAACAATCCGGTACACTCGTAGAGTTTAACTAATTGATTTGCAAAACTGGTTCATACTCATAACAAATCAATGGAATATCTATTTTTGCAGACTTTGCGGGCAACCATTGAGGCTGCTAGGGAGATGTCTCAAAATAAAATTGTGGCACATTGCTTGAAGAACATTGATAGCAGTAAGCTCCTTGTTCTGTCCCTCGGAACTGGATCTGCAAGGAGGGATGAAAAGCTTCAGGTTGCAGATCATAATTCGTGGGGAATCTTTCAATGGTTTATGGGCCAAGACCCAGACTATACCACCCCTTTACTTGATGTTTTGACAACCGCAACAGAAGACATGGTTGACATATACATGTCTGCTTTCTTCAATGTCTCTGGCTACAGTGACAACTATCTCCGGATCCAGGTATATATTAACATTTTATTTTTTTTGCGACATTCATATGAGTACGTCAGTTCAAACCATCAAAGCAACGACCAAGTAGCTTATAAGCCAGAGATACTTGCTGATTACCTTGCAGGATGATAGCTTGAAATACAGCGAAGCTGCTTTGGAAAACTCACATAGAGAAAATCTTGAGCACCTTGAGAAGATTAGGAATCAACTCCTTGAAAACCCTGTTTCTGCATTGAAACTGGAGACCGGCAGCTTGTATGAACCGATAGACAACACATTCAAATACAAAGACAGGTTTGCACAGTAAGAACAAGCTGATATGATCTTGTCCATACTATACTGACATCCTCAATGTTTATGTTCATAATAAGTTGCTTCTTTGTTTAGTGAATGAAATACATTTCATCTGTTTGTTTTGTAAATGGTGCAGGTTTGCCAAAAAGCTGTCAGATTAAAAAAAGGGTCGACTAGCTGGTCACTCTCGTTTATAAAACTATCGTCTGAGAAGAATACTTTAAACCATACATACCATGCAGTAGTGTTTTAAACGTTCTTGTGCCTAGTATCTATTAAATAAGTTCAGCCATATAAGGACTTGTAGAATAAAGCTGGTTTCCCAGTTCAGAGTGTTCTTCCAAGCCTGCTAAGTAGACTTTGTGTGCAGACTTTTGTTTCGAAACTTGTAATGGGTGGTTTCTCTTCTCTTGTCTTCCAGAAAGTATAATAAAATGAGGCTATCTCATAGCAGCTTTAATTACTTCAAATATCCATGGTATCATTAAATTTGAAGATAAATGTGCAGAAACAAAGAGTGCTTGTACAAATCAAGGAACTTCATCATCAATGTGTAGTAACATTCACCCTTCATGTGCACAAATTAGAAAGATAACATGTCTAGTTAAATCATAGATCGTTTAATCTGTGAAAGAATAAATCTGAAAATTACAACAACATGCCTATTAAACAAGAGCCATCAAGGCCAAAGGAAGAAAGGATAGGTAAAAACCCCTTGTAGAGGGGCATCTAACAAAACCGCATCTCAAGTTTCCAACATTACTGAAATTTTTTATAAATCTCAATCGTAACAAAGAGTGATATACAATACAATGACCACACTCTTCTACTTTTACTCCCAATCCTCTTCGCTCAATTGATCGTCTGTGTCATCTCTTGGTGGCCTCACTATCATCACCACCGTCCCTAAACTCTCCTTCACACCAGTTTCCTTTAATGCTGATCCCCTCACAACCTTAAACCCCAAACCCCCACCCTCAACTGCTGCCAAATAAATTCCATCATCAGCGGCCACCTCCTTCTTGCTCCTATCAGCCACCACCAGTATAGGCTCCTCCTTGTACCACCTATTCACCTTCCAAGGCAAAACCCTCGCGTCACTAAACGACACCACCACTCCCCCCTTTCCTAAACCTACCACCGGCTCCCATCCCGGCAACACCACCCACCTCTTCCACCCCTTGTCTGCCACCACCACGCCAAACTCTCCCTCACCACTACATTCCCACGGTGCCTCCAACACCTCCTTATCCTTCTCCTCTGCCCTACAAACCGGCAAAATCACAACTTTACTGGACTCTGCCACCTCCCCAAACTTCAATCTCACAACTGGAACCCGAACCGCAACTATAACATCCCCTTCTCTCCCTTCTTTCTCATCAGTCTCCCCCTCCAAATCTGTCAAAATTATTTTTTTGGCCTTATCAGTCCCTGCAACTTTCAGAGCCTGCTCTAAAGCAGCAGTTCTGGGTTCAGAGGGGTTCTTGTGCTCCCTAGCCTGCCTATAATACATAAAGCCTAGACAATCTCCAGGGTGAGCATAATCAAAGCTCTCCCACCCTTTATCTCCTCGCCTGCGAGGAAAGTCCTTCATAGAACGGGCCAGGTCCTGGGTGCCCAAAGCATCAAGCTTGTTCTCAATTATGTAACAGGCTGCAGCTGCACGCTGCTGGGCACTCAGGAGCCGAATTTCATACAGCAACTCGGAACCCCCGGTGTCAAATTCCGCAAGAATTTGTGGGTCAGTCTTGGATTGGACTAAAGAGTCTCTTACCTGAGCCGCAACCACCAGGCGGTTCTGCTCAATCCCGGAAATCCCAGTAACCTCTTCGATGGTGGGAGGCGTGAAGCCTTCTTGGAGTAAGGACGGGATTAGAGGGGCGAATTCGTACCAGAGGCCGAGGCGATTTGAGAGGATTTCGAGGCGGCCATTGGTGTCTAGGGAGCGGAACTTGGCGGGGACTGTAGATGGGGGTGGGCGGAATGGCTGGTACACTTGCTGCTGTTGGGAGCTTGAGGAGGGAGTTAGAGTGGCAGAGATGGGCTTTAGAGAAGAAGGTTTAGGATAGAGGAGGGGTGGTGGGTGTGGGTTGAGGAAGGAAGTGGGGAATAATAAGAGATTGGTGTTGGTGTTGGGGTTGAAAGAAGAGAAGGGTTTGAGAGTGTTTGCTGTTACAGAAAGCATGGTAGGTTTTTTGAAGTTGCCAATTTGGAGTGAGAGGCAGGGAGGGAAGAAGGAGCTTTGTCCCTTATCTGCTGATGATGATGCTTCTTCAGTTACGGAGCAAAAACAAAGTTTGTTCAATTCAGCTGAGATTTTGTTTAGCAAAGAAAGAAAGAAAGCAATGGGCTTCACCAGTTAGCTTGTTCCCAGCATCTTGTTGGCTATGGCCCATATCAACTTCATCAACCCAAATGAAAGTGCCCAGCTAAAAAACCCCTAAACCAAATATAACTTGTCAAACCCTGAAATTAGAATGCAGCCCAATTTGAAAAGACTGCTGGCTGCGCATTGGTTTTAGCCCATTCACGAACCCTTTCTTTTTATGATTATTTTTGCCGAGTTGTGAGTGTGGATTTTTCCTGTTTAGAGCACTAATGACTGCACTTTCACATGTCAGTATTGTTAATTAGTATTTCGATTCTTCCATTGCTTTGGGGTGAATACAACCAAATGAGTTACGTCACCGGTGTTAAACTTTTGACCAAATATTCATGTGAGAGTTTGAACTTGTCAAATGCTTCTGGAAGTTTTGATCCAAGTTTGATTGACCAATGACCAGCGACCAGCGACCGATGAGAGCATTTTTGCTTACTACTTTAATTCAAGATGTATCCTCATTACCCTTCTCAATATTTGACACGTGTTTATTGACATAACTATGGTTGCATAAATACAAAGTAAAGAGTTAATTATAGTTATACCAAAAAACACGTGTCAAGTATTGAGAATGATGATAAAAGTACACCTTAAATTAAAGTGATGAGTAAAAATATACCCTTAAGAATGCAGTCACATACCATCATCACACCCAATTTTAATCCACACACACAATCATAATAACAAAGCTGAAAGGCAGCGAGAGTGATTATATAATATATTAGCCTGACCAGCTTTTGAAACACACAGCCACTAATATATGAGTTAGTGACTTTGTTTATTGTAATTCATGAGTCAAATAAGATTCAAACCATGGACATAATAAGTGAAACATTTTGGCCACCAACAGAATATAATATAATAGAACAGAAATACTACTGAAACATTGATTTACGTATAGATTAATCGATTTTTTTTTTTTTTTTTCTTTTCTGGTATTATCAAATCAATTACTTGTTCAATCTTCTTTTTATTTTATTTTATTGAAAATGACACTTGATTGGCGCTTGGCTTCATACAATGTACCACATGCTCTATTTCATGACGTTTTTTTCTTTACCAATTCAACAGGCAACTTGAATTAACAATAAATCAGTTATTAATTAATTAATTTATTGCTTTTCAATGGGAATTCATGTCTGATTAGATTAGAGCATCTACAAGAAACTCTTCGGAGCGAGTGACGTATAAAAACGCAATCACATCCGCATGCACGAGGGCTAATCAATAATCACTGTCTGTCTGTTGGTTTATACTGCCTGGTCAAAGGCTGTGTTACGAATAATGGGAGAATTACCCATTATTAATCATTATTAATGGAACCTAACCAGAATATATTTACTTTATTTAAATCTTATAGGTGAAACAGCAAAAAGCTAGCGATCGAAAGGAAAATGCATGCATCGAACACCTTCTGCGTTCTTCTCTAACATTTTTGGAGAATTCAAATAAACATTATGTGAGTTTTATTTTATATTGTGTGATGTTTCACTATATTCCCACGAGGGAAATGTACCAAATATTTGAGCCAATGATATAGACGGGACTTTTGTTTGGTCGTCCGTTGAAGGAAAACAATTATATGAATAAATTGACCATTTGGTCCATCCATCCATCCATCCATCCATCCATTTGCCTTGTTAATCTTAATGATGCACTGGGAAACGGGGGTCTTGTCTTCACCACGAAAATAAAGAACTTGTCACTAAAAATGAATAACCAATAATGCGAACGACACAAGGGTACCAACTTGAACGATTTTGATTTATACAGGTTCATGCACTTTCCATATACCAATATACATCAAATTGGAATAATATATATAATTATTCTCTTATTCAAATGTTCGCACGTTATTATCGTGCGAATGTCATTGTAAATAATAAGAAAAGAAATACATGACATTCGCACGATAATGCATAGGAGAATTTCTATATATATATATGCTCTCTTCTCTTTTTCCTAATTTTTCCCGTTTTAAGGGAATAAGAAAACTAAATAAATACAATTGAGATACATATAATAAATTATTGAAATTGGAATTAATGTTTTGTAAGTATATATATCGGAAGATGTTGAATTGGATAGGGACAGATGATGAGTATTAAAATGGTAATTGGCTTGTGGTCCAAAATAGATGGGGCCATGGAACTCGCAGAGTTGCTGTTGCTGCTGAGGGATCGATTGAGGCATAATGCAATGCAAAGCAAAACTTTTCCATTTGTCTCGGTCATCTAATTTCCAGACTCCACAATTACTTACCACTTGTGTTAATAAAATAAGAATATATTAAAATAAACAGCCTCTGAAAAGGGTATGTAGCATGCACGAACTTTGACTGAATGCATGATTTTGGTAAAGGAATTAGGAATTTAGGACTACTTCCATTACCATCCACAAAAAGATGAGACACTCGTGCATTATTATTATATATGCATACACATTGACTGTTAAATAAAATATATCTCCAGAGGCAAGGAAGGAGCCACATATAGGCCTGTAGTGATCGTGGCCTCCAAATTCCATGAAAAAATCTATAACTCTTAAACACATGCTGCAATATCAATTGAAATATAAAACTATAAAACTTGGAAACTACAATACTGGCCCCCCAAAAAACAAGCTACTAGCTCCGCCACTGTCCAGAGGGATGGCTTTTCGCTTTTTATTTTTTATTTTGTATGTGGGATGAAAAATGCTTTTGGAGCTAAGACATATATATTCCCATGAACAAAGATAGGTTTGGTTTGAAACGGACTGCAGTCGATACAATCTCGTTATTTTTTGGCATGAAATAATAATAAGGACAACCCTATTTTCTCCAACGTGGCCACTTTGCCATGCTATGCGATGACGTTGTCTAAACTTGATTCACATTATATTTTGTCAAAATTATAACCTACCTATTAATATTTCAAACATACATTAATTGCATTTCGAGCAAATTACTGTAAACACACGATGAGCTAGTAAGTTAATACGACTTCAAATTAGTTTAATTTAAGCTAGGCCACCGATCGATGGAGTTGGGTGTACTGTGTATGTGAGTGTGACAAGGACGACACAACAAAAATCGTGACCAATCCGGCAATGAAATTATTAAACTTGCTTAAATTTGGGGTTGGGGTGGGAGGTGTAGAAACTTGCAACTTGCAAAAGGAGGCTCAGCCATTGCCATGAAAACCATCAACTCAACTCAACTCAACCCAACCTTCCTCATAATAACAATAATAACAATAATAACAAGCGCAGCGCACAATGAAATCATCAAGCTGATGTCATAAAATAATATTCAATTCTCACTATATCAAAAGGAACAACTAAAAAAATTGAATTCTTACCTGAGATGGCCGCCATGTGTGTCTTTGACTCACGTGGATACTTGGCCCTCAACCCCCTTCAAATTCAACCCTCTTTCTTTCCTTTTCACCATTATTTTCGTTTCTTTAGTATTATAGTTCAAACCCATGGGGTGGGGCCTTCCCTCCCTCCTTCCTCTATATAAACTCCTAATGCGTTCAAAATATTTTCCATCACCCCAAACCACACACACCACTCACTCACTACTACCATATCAATTCCAATTGTTCAAACGACACCTACAACAACAAAAATTCCATTTCCAAATTATTCAAACTATGGATTCTTCATTCTTCCAAAACCCCATTTCTGAATTTTCCTCTGATTCTTCTTCTTCCTTCAACTCAACTCTAGATCAATACTATTCTTCTGATCATCATCATCATCTCTCATGGTCATGGGACATGTTTAACTTTGTTGATCACCACCATCACAGTCAACCCTTGCCCCAGCTACCCTTCAATGAGAACGACTCCGAAGAAATGCTTCTCTATGGGGTTCTTGCGGAGGCGCCCGCAGGAGGAGATCACAACAACTCATCGGAGTCAATAACTCATTCCAACAAAGATATTCACGAAGAGGTGAATTCTTCTAATTCCACTCCCGAAGAGGATCAAGCGATTTCCTACAGAGGGGTTCGGCGGCGGCCCTGGGGAAAGTTCGCTGCGGAGATAAGAGACTCGACTCGAAACGGCGTCAGAGTTTGGTTGGGGACATTTGATACGGCGGAGGAGGCAGCCTTGGCTTATGACCAAGCAGCATTTGCCATGCGGGGGTCTTTGGCTGTCCTCAACTTTCCAGCCGACGTCGTTTATCAGTCACTTGTGGAGATGAAGTATGGATTCGAAGAGGGTTCGTCTCCGGTGTTGGCCTTGAAGAGAAGGCACTCCCTCAAGAGGAAGTCGTCAATGAACAAAAAGAAGAAATTATCAGATCATCAAAAGAATGAGGAGAACGATGATGAAGATCAGTTGGTGTTGGAGGATTTAGGCGCAGACTATTTGGAGGAGCTTCTCAGCATATCTGCGATGACCTAGCTAGGGGTAAGAGTGCAGCCAGCTGTCCTCATAGAAATTGTCCGTTTGTGTCGGCCATACCAGTTTTGGACCTTGTTTTTTCTTTTTTTGGGAAAGTAAGTTGGATTGAGAGGGCGGAGATGACGGCCACTAGGTCATTCTTAATTTCTTCTTGGATAAATGTTATTCACCTTTGTTTCCTTCCTTGTATAAATTTCAAGATAATGTGATGAGTAAAGTAGTTTTCAATTAGTCAACTATGACAAAGAGAAAGAGTAGTTGGTGTACACTTCTTTGCTAATTATTTTACTCTATATTAATAATTGATTAATAGATTTAAAGTAGTTGAAAAAAGAAGAAGAAGAAGAAAAAGAAGAAGAAGAAGAAGAAGGTAAGATAAGAGTGCTGTTGGACCTTGATTATGACCGTTCAAACAGTTATTTGAAAAGGCTGCTGTCACAACCAATTTCAGCTACCTAAAGAATTTATCTCACAAATAATAATATAATATAAGAGATCATATATTACAGAGAGCCACATTATGCATTAATCCTTTTTTT